TGACGTAACGGACCTGGGAAGAAGCTCGTTGTAGTCCCTACCAGCCGTTTTTGTAGGCATTCAACTGCCAGAATTTTAAAAGACGATATCTCTGTTTGCATTGAACTCTCAGCTTTGTAACTTTGCAGATATTGTTTATGCTCAAACAACAACATTAGACACTAACTAACGTTAAAAAAGTGAAATCGCAATTAACCACCCCTTTAAATTATGGTCTGAAGCTTTTTCTTTTGCACAGTAAATGTTTTTTCTTTTCTTTACTGGTAATAAAGTACTTGACCTGTTGAGCTGTAATACTTGTGTCTATTCAGATGATGGAGCAAAGGTAGGAGTGTATCTTTTGGACACAAGCGTTCAAGTGACTCATCGTGAGATTGAGGACAGGGTGATGGTGACGGACTTCAACAGTGTGCCAGAGGAGGATGGGGTCAGAGTTCACAGACAGGTAGTTGAATGTAAAAAAAAAAGTGTTTTATGACAACTGGACAGTTTTTATAGCTAATGAGAAGCATATGTCCATCACTCCCTGCGGTCTTCTGCCCACAGGCTAGTCAGTGTGACAGTCATGGCACACACACAGCAGGTGTGGTCAGTGGACGGGACTCAGGTGTAGCTCGAGGTGCCAGTGTAAACAGTGTCCGAGTGTTAAACTGCCAAGGCAAGGGTACCGTGTCAGGAGCTTTGGCAGGTAAACCAAAACATAAATAATTGTATATAACTATTTAATATACATACAAATTGTATTAAACTATATATTAATTATTAATATAATATATAATTATTGTATTAATTTAGAAAAATGTATATTTTTATATAAAATTTATATTTAAAATGAAGATAAAGTAGATCATATATATATGTATGTATGTATATGTACACACACACAAACTGGCCACTTTATTAGGTACATCTTGTTAGTACTTCAGAACTGCCTTAATATTGACATTTCACTTCCACATGTGAATCTCAGATTTCATACTTTCAGTCAACAAATCTGCAGCAGATTCACATCCACATGTGAGATTCACATCCATGATGGGTACCCGTCACAAGATGGGTACACTGTAGTCATAAAGGGATGGACATGGTCAGCAATAATACTCAGGTAGGCTGTGGCATTGAAACAGTGCAGTTTGTACTAAGGGGCCCGAAGTGTAAAAATATCCCACACATTACGCCAGCACCACCAGCCTGAACTGTTGATACACCTTAAGGCAGGATGGATCCATGCTTTCATGTTGTTTGCGCCAAATTCTGATCCTACCATCCGAATGTCGCAGCTGAAATTGGGACTCATCAGACCAGGCAACCTTTTTCCAATCTTTTACTGTCCAATTTTGGTGATCCTGTGCGAATTGTCGCCTCAGTTTCCTGTTCTTCGTTGACAGGAGTGGCACCTGCTGTGGTCTTCTGCTGCTATAGCCCATCTGCTTGAAGGTTCAAGGTGTTCTGCGTTCAGAGATGCTCTTCTGTGTATCTCGGTTCCTCTTTTTTAGATCATTCTCTGAAATTCTTTAGAGTTTCTGAAATACTCAGACCAGCCAGTCTGGCACCAACAACCATGCAATGTTCAAAGAGACTTAAATCACCTTTCTTCCCCATATTGATGCTTGGATTGAACTTTAGCAGATCATCTTGACCATGTCTACATGCCTAAATGCATCGAGTTGCTGCCATTTGATTGGCTGATTAGATATTTACGTTAAAAAGCATTGAACAGGTGTACCTAATAAAGAAGGCATATAGTACTGACATATTTTACATTTTATATGAACTATCCTTCAGAATATCTCTGCAGAATTTGCATTAATTGACCCAACTCTGTTGCAGGTCTGGAGTATATCCAGTCATCTCTGATGTCTCAGCCTATCAGACCTGTGATCGTACTGCTGCCATTTGTAGGGGGATTCAGTCGCACACTCAACGCTGCCTGCAGGAAAATGGTGGAATCTGACACAGTGCTTATTGCTGCAGCTGGTAACTACAACGATGATGCTTGTCTGTACTCACCAGCCTCAGAGCCAGAGGTACAATGGATTGAATCCTTCAGAAAAGCAATTGCTTGTCAATATATTCGTTTTTACATAATTTGGTCCACCGCTGCAGGTGATAACAGTAGGGGCCGTTAATTTTGCTGACCAGCCCTTGAGCACTGGGACGACAGGCACCAATGTGGGCCGCTGCGTGGATGTGTTCGCACCTGGTGATGACATCATCAGTGCTTCCAGCGATTGCTCCACCTGCTTCACCACCAAGAGCGGAACATCACAGGCAGCGGCACATGTTGCTGGTTAGCACACACATGCCAAAACTATGACATTTTATTTTATCACTCTGTCCATACAACAGCTGTGGTCTGTGTTTTTTCAGGTATAGCAGCGGTGCTCCTGAATCTGAGTCCAAACTCCAGCTCTGCTGAGCTTCTGCAGCAGCTCCTCCATCATTCAGTGAGACAGATCATTAACCCAGAGTCTCTGCCACTGAACCACCGTCTCACTACACCCAACATGGTGGCCGCCCTGCCCGACTCGACCTCCACACTCATAGGTCAGATTTCACAAGGAATTAATTTAAATGACTCAACATTGTGGCTTGATGAGCAACGTCAGTAGTAGTCTGGACTGAAAATACAGTGTGATGACGATTTTAATACTGTAATCAGCAATAAATTTATAACAATGCAATATAACCACCTTATTAATATTTGATAAAAATACCAATCTTTAATTCAACACTAGAATCAGCAGATTACAGTAATTTTTGAATAATATAATGTAATATAATATAATAAAAATCTTATTTTAGCACCATTGTTAATATTTTTTAATAAAATCTTAAAACTTTAGTTGTTTTTTTTTAAATGTCTACATGGTTTTTATTAATTTTTATTCATTAGTTTTAGTTGATTTAGTTTTAGTTATTTTAGTACTTCATGTTAAACTATACAAAAATGAGAAATGTTGCCTTGCCAACTAGCAACTTGCCAACTTTTTTTGAATATTTTATTTCAGTCAACGTTTATTTGGTTTCAAGTTAACAATAATAACCCTGAATTTATAATATAATATAATATAATATAGATACTACTACAATATAGATAAATGAACAATATCACACTCGTAGACGTGAGATATTGCATTTATACAACAGTTCGACGGCACGAGTGTAAATACATAAGAAAAACAACAACGGAGTGTCTTTAAAAACCCGCTTTTGTGCAGAACTACTTCCTTCCGCCACGGATTCAAATCTCAGTTTGACAGTTCAACAGCTGAGCTCAAGCCGCCGTTACCAATTCAAAAACGTTACTTTAGAACAGGGGTGTCAACGGGTACTAGACTCTGAGGATTACAACACAGCAGTGCGCGCAGTGTCTCATTCCCTCCTTTTAGGGAACCGAGGTTATGTACGTAACCAGAGACGTTCCCTATCAAGTTCGGTCTCTCGACACTGCGTAGCTTACGTTTGGGGACGCGTATAATCCCGCTGTGTTGTATTCCCCACACCTGGTGACAAGAGTCTAATGAGCCAGACTTCAATAGAGCCGAGCCCGTTGACTACTCCATAGGGTACTCATGGGAAAACAAATGCCCTCCAGCTTGAGCCGAGTGGGACTAAGCACAGTAATATAAGCATAACACTACACAGACTGGCCGCAGTGCTGCTGGAGCCATGTACATATGCAGCATATACCACTTGATACATACGAAAAAAACAGCGCACTTTCTGCGGTCGACAACCTCGCGAATGCATGTAGAGAGTCGCTAACTATAATATACCATTATAGGCATGCCTTGGGTCCACCGGACCTAGTCGAAACCACCCTGATCGACTGGGGGCGTGGCCAGGTGCAGGCAGCAACCAATACCAAGCTGTAGATCCATCACTGCACAGACAGAAGGAGCAGTGCAAATGACGGAATCTCCGGGTTGTAAAATCTGGCAAAGGTTTCCTGTGAAGACCATCCTGCTGCCAGACAAATATCCTGAATCGACATTCCTTTTGCCCAGGCCCACGACGAAGCCATTTTTGTAGTGGGTGTGTCGCTGGCTCTGAATTCTGAGGAGCAAAGGCCTGTAGCATGATGACCTGCGCTCTAAACGACGTAGAAAGCACTTTAGGTACATACCCCCGTCTAGGCTGCAGTCTGACCATACAGTCATCCTTACCAAACTCCATACATGCAGTGCTCGTAGACAGCGCATGTAAATTGCCCACCCTCTTACCACATGCCAAAGCGAGCAAGAACGCCATCTTAAACAAGAGCACCTTTAACTCTGCCAAAAGCAGTGGCTCAAAGGGTGGCTCAGAGAGTGCACTAAGCACCAAGGACAGGTCCCAGACTGGTACCATATTAGGGCGAAAGGGACGCAACCTCCGCGCTCCTCTTAAAAAACCCGTCACCAGATGTTGCCTACCGACCGAGCGATCACTGATAGGTAAATGAAAAGCCGAAATAGCAGCCACATACACTTTTAGAGTAGATGGCGTGCATCCAGCATCCAAGCAGTCCTGCAGAAACAATAGAATGACAGACACATCACATCTGGCTGGGTCTTCATCTCTCATCCTACACCATGAAGCGAAAACTTTCCATTTCAGACTATACAGACGTCTGGTAGATGGAGCTCTCGCTTCTGCAATTGTATCCAAGACTCGCTGAGATACAATTAGCGTCTGTCCTCCGTGCTGATCTGCCAAACATGCAGGTTCCATAGCTCAGGCCTGGGGTGCCACACCGAGCCCTTTGCCTGAGATAAGAGATCTCTCCGCAACGGAATCGGCCACGAGGGAGCCGTTAAAAGCTCCATCAACTCCGGAAACCACGGCTGGTTGGGCCACTTAGGCGCGACCAGAAGCATTGTTTCCCTTTCCTCTCTGATTTTGTGCAGCACAAGGGGTATAAACTTCACTGGGTGAAAAGCATATTTGCGCTTCTTGAGCCAGCGACTCGAGAGAGCATCCCCCTCCAGCCGGCAATGCGTGTTCTCCTCTGAACCGCCAGACTTTGAAGTGAGCGTGAACGGATACCTCCCAGATGGTTGATAAAGGATACCACCGTCGCATTGTCTGTCCGAACCAGGACATGTCGATCCTTTATCAGTGGAAGAAAGCACTGCAAAACTAAAAATACTGCCTTCAGTTCTAGGCAGTTTATATGCCACTTCGCTTGCGCACTCGTCCAAGTGCCATAAGCCAGTCTGCCGTTGCAAAGGGCTCCCCAGCCCGTCAATATGTCAATGTCCATAGTGACGATTTTTCTGCTGACCACTTTGCCCATCGAGACCCCCTGGTCGAACATCTTCGTGTTGAACCAGGGGGCTAGTGTCTGCATGCATCCGCGGGTCACCAAGACCAACTGACCGTTCTTCCACGCTTTGCTTGGCATCCGGGATTTCAGCTATAGCTGAAGTGGTCTCATATGCAGAAACCCGAGCTGACATAACACAGCTGCTGCTGCCATACGCCCTAACAGTCTCTGAAAGCATTTCAGAATCACCACTCCCCTCGGTTTGAACGAGGTGAGAGTGCTGACCAAAGACTATTCATTCTTGAGAGAGACGCGCTCTCATTGATCGCGAGTCCAAATCCATTCCCAAGAATGTGATGGTCTGCGTGGGGCGAAGCTAGCTCTTCTGCACATTGATCGTCAGTCCTAGATGCTTCAGATGTTTTAGAAGCTGGCATCTGTGGTTTTCCAGTGTATCCCGCGACTGAGCAATAACGAGCCAGTCGTCCAGATAATTCAGATTCAGAATGCGAATTCCACTCTGCCTGAGAGGGGAAAGCGCTGCATTTATACACTTCGTAAAAGTTCTCAGAGTCAACGCCAACCAGAACAGGAGAACTTTGAACTGATAAGCTCTGTCCTCGAACGCGAATCTCAGAAAGCGCCTGAGACGAGGGGCTATTTGGATGTGAAAATAGGCGTCTCTTAAGTCCACCGAGATAAACCAGTCCCCGGGCTGAATGTGCGCGAGGATCTGTTTCACTGTTATCATCTTGAACGAGCGCTTTGCTAGTGCACGGTTCAGTGGTCTCAAATCCAGAATAGGGCGAAGACCCCGGTCCTTCTTGGGAACCAGGAAATCACGAGATCTCCTCTTGGACCTCAGGGAAAAAGGGAGCGGGTCTCTGGGGGCGGCAACCTGGCGGCCCGACTGCAGATACCGCATGTCCAACCTGTTCTTGGCTGGTTGCTCGAGGGACGACCAATCAAGACCCAAATCCTGTACAGGATAACCCCCAAGCGTAAGCTATGCAGTGTCGAGAGACCAAACTTGATAGGGAACGTGATGAGACTTTGCCCTCAGCCAAAACGATTTGCTCTGGAACAAATAATAGATTAATGAGACCAAAGACTGGCCGTTAGAATTACGCAAAACGAAATATATCTCATGTTTAACCACTATAGAGACATCAGAGCCAGCGGCAAATTCCAGAAGATCTGGCCGAGGTGAGGCTGCTCTCGGCGGGTTCATGAGCGCTGAATGGCCGCTGATACCCTGGAGCTCACATCTCCGAAAACGTTAAAGCAAATTTTCAAATAGACATTATCTTTATTAACAAACTGCATATTTGAAGTCTAAACAAGTACATACTCGTCTAAAAAAACTCTTAAAACTACATTCTGTGACACTAAAAATTATAGTGGATTTGGGCATCCGCCATGACACTCGCTGTGAGAAATACGGCAAGCGGAGGGATACAAATGGTGAAATGGTTGAAGGAGTTCTGTTATCACTCTGTTCAGGAGTTCTGTTTGGTTAGATTAAAACGAACCCTGGTGCGATTGCTCTGTTAGTGCGGTTCATTTAAGTAAGTGTGAACGCTGCCATCTGAACCCTGGTGCGCACCAAACAAGCGGACCGAGACCGCTAAAAGGATGGGTCTCGGTCCGCTTCCAAACAAACTCTGGTGTGGTTCGAATTAAATATGAACGCAACACGGACCAAATACTTCTAAACTAACCAAAATCACGAAGTAATGACAATATGCGACGCTATGCGACATGATTTGATGACGCGGAACGAGTGGTGTATCCAAAACAAAATGAGCAGAGGGCAAACGTGGAGCAACGAGGAGGTAAAGTGCCTTTTATGAGCTCTTCGTGAGTTCACAGGTGGTGAAAATAAAATCATAAGTACATGCAGCAATGAGCGCGCTTAATCCAGCAGTCGGCATTAGGTGTGTTCGGCTTAAAGCGGCGCTGAGCAGACCGATCTGTGAATGGATACTTTGATGTCATACCGTTTGGTCTGTGCATTGCCGCTTTAAGTCGAACACCGCTTTTGTTTGGGGTGTTCGGTGAGTTCCATCGCTAAATATACATCATTTAACCCGACCAATCAGGTTGTGAATGTATCATTATGCCTTTAGGTTCGGTATCTTTAGGTTCGCTGTCAAAAATGCCAGTGTGAACACTCAGTGGTCCAGAACCAAATGTATCATTTTCTTTTTTGGTCTGGACCAAACAAACAAGAGAACCAAACTACAAGTGTGAACACACCCTGTTATCGCACTCTTATCAGCCAATCAGATTCGTGGGCCAGAAAGAACTAATATGTCAAGTCAAGTCAAGTCACCTTTATTTATATAGCGCTTGGTTCTTCTGCTACAGGTAACAACTCTTTCAGTAATTTAGTGGGTACAGGATCTAACAGGCATGTTGTTGGTTTAGATGCAATAATATGTAATATTAAATAAAATATTAATTTATTTTAAAGTAATTAGCAGACTGCAATGAATTTATAGATAATATAAACCTTATTAATATTTAATAATATTAAACTTTAGTACTGTTTAGAAAACAGTTTATAATTTAATATAATAATCTTATAAATATTTGTTATTAATATGAATAATATTTATTGTTTTACTTTACTATTTGCATACTAATTGTGTATTTATTAGTGACTTTAATTATAACATACTGTACATACAATTGTATGATGAATAGCATTTTATTCTTCCCTGGAATGGTTTAACTTCCAAAATAGTCTTAAATGGTTTTAGGTAGTCTGTTACTGGCACAAGCTAGTTTAGTTGGTTATTTTTGCAGGTAAACTTTAAACCGTATTAACAATGTCCAAAACATATTGGTAAGCAGTAAGGTAATTTTAACTCTGCATGTGTGTTTTCTTACAGGAGAGGATCTGCTCTGTAGATCCGTTTGGTCTGAGAGGTCAGCTGTTAAAGGTTTGGCCACAACTACAGCCCGCTGTCGCCACGGTGAAGAGATGCTGAGCTGCTCCAGTTTCTCACAAAATGGAGCAAGAGCTGGAGAAAGAGTGGAGGTGAGTAGCAGAGAAAGTTTGTTTTGATTGCTCAAAAAATATGTTTTAATTGTCAACCTAATGTAAATGAAGTTTTTGCTTACCAAAGTAATTTCCTTTCTGACAGGAGAGAGATGGGCAGAAAGAGTGTGTTGCTGTCAATGGGAATGGAGGGCATGGTGTGTCCGCTGTAGCGCGCTGCTGCACAGGCCATAAAGCTCAGTGCCAGATGTTAGAGAGTCCCAAGAGAGGCGAGGGTGCAGAATGTCCTCCAGACCACCAGCTGACAGGTGACAGATGGTTTCACACTGCAGCGTTTTTCATAAACTTAGGAAATTATCATTAATTAATGGAATGTTCTGGGTTCAGTGGAAGCTAAAGTCTGTTGGCTTTTGGTCAATTACCAGACAATAATATGAAAATGTATCTAAAAAAGTTATTTTATAAAAAAAAATCTGTTACTAATAAAAAAAATATATGGCTCATAATATTAATAAAATAATTTTATTTGGACATTTTAATACCTTTTTATTTCTTGTGAGCTTTTTATTGAGCTTTTATTTTGAAATAGTTCACACAAAAATTACAGTGTACTCAACCTCAGGCTAGAGGTTGTAGATGTAGATGAGTTTGTTTCTTCATCCAAACGGATTTGGAGAAATTTAGCATTACATAATTTGCTCAGCAATGGATCCTCTGCAGTGAATGGGTGCCGTCAGAATGAGAGTCCAAACAGCTGATAAAAACATCAGAATAAACCACAAGTAATCCACACCACTCCAGTCCATCAATTAACATCTCGTGAAGCGAAAAGCTGTATATTTTTAAGAGACAAATCTATCATTAGGACGTTTTAACTTTAAACCATCACTTCTGGCCAAAATAACCTACAAGTCTATAACGTGTAATAATGCTTCATTCAGTGAAGAGGTCCATCTGTTTTGGACTGTTTTCGCAACATATTTCTCTCCTGATTCAGACGAGACGACTTTTCACTGGAGCATTATTATCAATAGAGAGACGTGTGACGTATTTGTTTCTTACAATTCCGCTTCACAATACGCTAATTGATGGACTGGAGTCGTGTGGATTACTTGTGGGATTATTGTGGTTTTTATCAGCTGTTTGGACTCTCATTCTGACGGCACCCATTCACTGCAGAGGATCCATTGGTGACCAATTGATGTAATGCTAAATTTCTCCAGTTGGAAGAAACAAACTCATCTAAATCTTAGATGGCCTGAGGGTGAGTAAATTTTCATTTTTGGGTGAACTACTCCTTTAATTCACTTAATGAGTGAAGTTTCTGTTGTCACTGCAGCTGGAAATGAATTTGAATTGAGTTCTCTATGCTTAACTTCATGACAACTTAAGTGAACATTTATGTACACAACTGTCATCTTTTCCTGCAGGCTGCAGTTCTTCCTCTCCATCTGGAGATGTATCAGACTCTGATCTACCTCTACATGGCAGCCGCAGGGCATGTCCTGCTAAAAGGGGTGAAATGTCATACGCATCCTGCTGCCACACATCCTCTCTGGAATGCCGGCTGAAAGAACACGACCACACGGGTCTCAGTGAGCAGGTGACTTACTCTCACAAGAAATTTCCATTGACTCAAAAATAAAAACTAATGCACAGCTTTTAACATTTATAACAGTTGCAGTTTAAACTTGATTTGGTGTATCTGATCACTGAGCAGCACTAACCTGCATCATTTCTTTCAGGTGGAGGTTTCATGTGAGGACTCGTGGACACTGACAGGCTGTCAGGGTCTGTCGCGTGGTTCTGGTGTTCGTGGGGCATTTGCTTTGGGAAACACCTGTATAGTTCATACATCTGGAGGAGATAAAGGGACTGCCGCCATCGCCACCTGCTGCAGGCACCGCCCGTCCCACCAGCCATCTGACCACTGAGGGATATGTGTGCCTCTTTTGTCACTTCTCTAAATACGTAACCATGGACATGACTTCTATAACACATATAACAGTAGGAGGTGTTACACAGTTGAGCTCAGTTCTGTCACTATGCAATATTACACGACAGAGAAGTGCATTGTAACCAGTTCTGTATATAACTAAATCCAATCTAGATACTCAACAAGTGGCACTATAACACTTAAAACACTTTGAAAGGCCTTTAAACTGCGAAACATGCATCAGTGCATTAATATTAGAATTCTGACGATAATTATTTTTATGTTACGGCTATGAAAATGCTATACTATTTTGTTTAAATAATAATAAAAAACACTAAAAATTAAAATACATTTCATTTTGAGATTTGCTAAAAATGACATTTAAAAGTGGTAAAGCGAGCATTTGATGACAGCTAACGACAGCTGCGTGTGTGAAATAAACAATATAAGCCAATATATTTAAAATGTTCCAATACTTTGACTGTATTTAGACCAGCACTTTTCATTTTGATATTTACACCTATTCTGAATTAAAAAAAGAGATCTATTTTCACAATTTTTGGCAAGAGCGTTATCTACTATTATGCATGTGCACTGTGTATAAGAGTGCAATTCTTTTTTATAAATGTATATTTTTATATTACAAACTTTGACAACTTCATGTAATGGTCTAAAATCAACTTCAGACTTGACACATACAAAATCACACAGTCCGAAAAGTTGTGCATTCCAGTTTTTCCTTTTTTATATCAAATGTTTTCATTGTCAAACTCTGATGTACAAATTAAAATGTGGTTTTAACATGCATTATTAACTGATTCCTTTACACATCATACACACTCGCAGCAGAAATGAAATCACAGATCTACCGAGTGGTTGGTACAGCATCTACAGGTGTAGGAAAGGTTAAAAAAGATTGATTGGAGGGAGGAGGATCAGATTTGTTGATAGTTTTAACACCCTGTTCACTCAAGTACACCATATTTCAAAGAAGACTCTACAGCACTGAGTATATACTGTAATCCCACCGTACCTTACGGGCTCCTTTAGTGAAAACCTAAGCAGGCAGTTGAGCTGAAATTAGTGTGATATCTTTGCAAATGTGCATATTTCAGCAAAATAAGAAAGCTGCCTTGTGTTTAGGCATTGATCTGATTAATTCTCTCCTCAATTGTAACTGAGCACTGTGCCTTCAGCCCTGAAACGTTTCAAAATAATCCTCCAGTCATCCTAAAACCTGTCTAACTAATCGTCCCAAACGCTTTCCACATCTGCTGCGGTGAATTAGCAATGAACCATTTACTGATTCAAAGCATAAAGGCAGTTGCGAGTACTGCAGTGTTTTGCTGACTATTAAGAGGCCAAAACCATGAGAAAGAGACAAAAAGTCAAAGACCCTACTGAAAAAAAAAACTGCTTAAACAAGCCTTATCAGGTTTGCTGGTTTTACCAGGCCTTCAGCATGATTAATCTTGAGTTTCAGTGCCTCAAGCTACTCTAATACTAGCAAACCAGGCTGGCCATGTTGAAAAAAGCAAACATGTTGAACCAGTTTAAGATGGTCTGCTGGTTTTATGAGGTTTTCCAGCCTGACCGATCTTGATTTTAAGTACCCCAAACCGCTCTACAACCAGCAAACCAGGCTGGCCATGTAAAAAAAAAAAAAAAACAGCACAAGATGGTGTGCTGGTTTTACCTGGTCTCCCAGCCTGAGCAATCTTGAGTTTACGTACCAAAATCACTCTAAAACCAGCAAACCAGGCTGGCTTGTTGAAAAAAAAAAAACCGTTAAACCAGCTCAAGATGGTGTGCTGGTTTTACCTAGTCTCCCAGCCTGAGCAATCTTGAGTTTAAGTACCAAAACCACTCTAAAACCAGCAAGCCAGGCTGGCCCTTTGGCTAACAAACAAACATGTTAAACCAGTTTAAAATAGTGTGCTGGTTTTATCTGGCTTCCCTGCCTAAGCAATCTTGAGGTTATGTGTCCAAGCCTCAATGTTGTTAAAAGATGTTAAACCAGTTTAAGATGGTGTGCTGATTTTACCTGGTCTCCCAGCCTGACCAATCTAGAGTTTATGTGCCCAAAACCAGCTAAGTCGGCTGGCTCCGTCATCTTAAATCAGTCTAGGCTGGTTTGCTTCTCTTAGTTGCTCTTCCAGCCTGCTCAAGCTGGTCTGTTGGCTGGTATTAAATGGTTTTTGGACACTTAACCACCTAAACACAACTTAGCTGGGCTGAGAGACCAGCATAGACCAGCAAAGACCAGCAAATGCACTTAGGCTGGTTTAAGATTTATTTTATAAACCAGCTTCTTTGGCCAGTTTATGCAGTTCTTTTCCAGAAACAAAGTCTCTCACACATACAAACATGCACAGAAGCGTGGCAAAAAAAAGCGTCAATGTGAAAATTGCGAAGAGCAGATGACTGTGAGGTAAAAAGCAGCACTAACTTTTGTGTGAGGTGGCATTGAGGTCTTTCCGCTGTAAACATTGAAGCAATGTCACTAAGTGTTCTAGTCTAAATACAAAATGAGCAGCAAACGGCAGCTGAAACACCCTGCAGACTACCTGAAAGAGGGACATCACAGTCCCGGCTCAAACAAGGGGCCGTGACGCACGAGGCGCCATCTGTGTCCTCATATGGCGCTTTGAGATGAGCTCAGCCGAGCCATCCGAGTATACGTGTGTGCGTTGTTAGCGTAATGTTGAGTGGGTTCAAGCATTTGTGTAGCACAGCGTGTCCACTGGTTTGTCTCAAGGTGAGGACGTGAGCGCCGTAGGGGAGGAGTCGAGTAAAGGCACTTTACTACTCTGTGAGAACTTTCCGGTCCCTCCAACAACCTCCGTCTTTCTCTACCCCTCCCCCTTTGACCACTTTCCACCCCATCCTTGCCTTGTCATTCGATTTGCATTGCGTAAGGCAGACTGAACAGAAAAGACGCAGGCAAAGAGAAAAAAAAAAAAAAAAAGACAATTTGCCTCAAACTTCTGCTTATAACGATTACATAAATATATCATCCTCTGAACATTTCAAACTTAAGAGTGTCCAAGTTAAAGGAAGGAAAAGCCTTTTAAACCAAGAGCAAATTGTTTTTTTTCAACAAAAGTTTAAACTAAATCAATTAAATATCATGTGGTGTAAACATCAAGTAAAAAGTGGTAACATTTTTCTTACACCTTGAATATGTGAATTTACATACCTTAATTATTATAATTAACATTACGTTTTTAAATATATTTTTAATGTAAAAAGACTTATCATCTTATATCTTATCATAAATATTAAGCATAACCTACTTAAGTATAAGTATAAAAGCTCAAATTATCTGATATTTTTTACACAGTCATGAGAGTCAGCAGGGGTGCTCACTCTTATATCACTTCCTGTTTTGTTTACACTTTTCCCACTTTTTGGCTGCACAACATGGCTTTGAATTGGCAGACAAACATTCAAATATTAATAAATAGCTAAGCATTTTTTTTTCCTAGAAATAATACAAGATTATGCCAAACTATTTAATATGGTTTTCTTTTCATAAGGTTTTCTCTTCAATATGACAACAGGACAGTTAAAAAAAAATAAAAAACAGACTTTTTTTTAGAAATTAACAAAATTCATTTTTATTTACAAATTAAAAACATGTTCATTATATAAGAAGTGTATTCAATTCACTGTATGAATGAATTGCATATTTAAAGTATTTGTAATAATAGTTATAACAATAAAAAAAGAGCATCATGCCATTAGGATACCATGGGATTACATTTATTTTCTAAATAAAATGAGTGCCTTATAAAACACAAAATCCAAATCCTAAAGTAAAATGTTTCTTAACACCAGCATTTAATCCGGCACTCTACTTTCTCATTTCTAAATTGTGGTTTGCAAAATTGCAGCCTTCTCTACCTACTGTTGTGACTCACTGTCCCGAGGCGAAAAAAAAAAAAAAAAAAAAAAAAAAAGACAAATTTGGCTAAATTAACCCTGAAAAGTGTCTTCACGTCCCTAGACCTTCATACCAGAGCGGCACAAGACAACATCAAAACAGACGAAATGAAAGAGCGAGACAGTTTCTCAATGACAAACTCTGCTGATTGTAGCACTCATTGTCTTTCAGGAAGAAGAAAAGCTCGTTGGACAGTAGCGTCTCTGCGTGTTGCATATGTGTCGTCGGACGCATCTGCTGATGCAATATGTCTTCCGCTGCAAGGTCAGTCCGCCATCATATTTTGTATAGCACTGGCGTAAACCGCTTGTGTCTTTTGCTGCACGCTGTTCCAATCCAAGAAATCGACGGACAGAAAGCAGCGAAGGACATCCGTCCAATTGTCTCTACGTGATGAATTAGTCTCAAATTGAATTCAAATTTAAAGTGCATTTAAAAAAATACCAGCAAGAAAGAGAAGGGAAAAACGGTGTGATTATTTGACTCTCAGAGACTTGGCAAGTTCCTCTTTTTTTCGAATAAATTTGAGGCACCTCTCAAACAGATTCACAAAAAATAAAGAAAATCAGTAAAGGATTCTTAAAAATATTATTTTACATTTGAAATTACACTTATGGAACACATCTTTACATTTCTCATGAATAGTATCTACTTAATTACATTGGCAAATATACGCTGACTTCTTTTAAAACGCCCTGTCTGGCACCATAGTAGTAGTTCGGCGTAAAAACGTCAAGGAAACAAACGCCTCCGTTTTTATTAAGTCTCACTCGTCTGACAGAACTCAAGTCAGAAGAAACATCTAAATCACTTGCATGACCTGAACTCTAATTACATCCAGCCAGGCTTCGACCACCTTCGCCTCTGTTTACTTCTCAGGTGAGGCGGCCTGAGGAGCGAGCGCTCCGACGGGGCCTTTGGCTGCTTCTGGTCACTCCATTTCCAGTCCCTAGAAGAACAAATGCAGTTTTCTGATTGTCTGTTTAGAGCCACATCTTTCCATCGGAGGGTAACTTTTTTGTGTTGTTTTGATGCGCAAAAACAATGAGAAGCGTTACGGATCCACATCTTCTAGATCACTTCGAGAATCACCCAACATCATTGGGGATTCGGATCCCTGAGAGAAAGAGAGGGAGAAATGGTGAGAGTAAATGTCATTATTTATTAAACACTAGTGTATTTTATCCTATCGCTGTTGACACTGTTTTATGATATAACTGATGATGGACTGCTGAATTAATGACAGACAGAGCTCTACTACCTGTCTGAGGCTTCTGTCTGAGTTCTCATTGGCCGGGCTGCCGTCTGAACCATTACTGCTGCCGGACTGCTCCTTCTCATTCAGTAAAGCTGTGGCATAAGCTAGAGTGTCCTAAACACAAAAAACAGCATTCACTGAACTTCATTCAGCAGTTCACATGCACTCCTAATGACTCCTAAAATGGGTGGCTAGCAAAATCTCCTGTGTTAGCTCTAAGTAAATCATAATGTATTTATTATTGCTGTCAAACGATTAATCACGATTACTCGCATCTAAAATAAAAGTTTTTGTTTACATAATATATGTGTGCATACTGTGTACTTTTATTTTGGATGCGATTAATCGCGATTAATCATTTGACAGCACTAGTATTTATTTATTTATTTTTTATTTTAAAAGATATACATTTTGTACATTTTAAGATCAAATACAAACTTAAAATAATTTTAATCAGTAGGAAATGTAACTTTGTACTTAGCTTAAACTTTGAAATGAGCTTAAATTAGCATTTTTGTGTTGTTTTTATTTCATCTCAAAGGAAAGCAAAACATGAAGGATGTACAAAAGTGAGGGAGAGGGAAAGAAAGAGAGGAAAATAGCACTCCTAAGATTTTCACAAATTATATTTTGGATTCAAACTGAAGTTTTCCCTAAAAGTGCTGTGAACTATAACTACTCAAAATAGTGTTTAGTAATTGAAATAAATCTGAAATAAAGTAAAATATAAATAGCAGATGGAAAAAAAAATTTGTCCCAGCATTTCAATCATTTTACATCAAATCAGTCAGTGCGGAGCTTTCAGAAGAAAAACCTTTCACAAAAGTTTTGAACTTTAAATTGTAAAGTTGAAATTTCAAGTTTGACAAATACATAATGAGTTTATTCTGGTTATGTATAATGTAAAAAAGTATGAGTGCCATACCTGTGCTGAGATGGTGCGCTGGAAGGTTTTAGCCGTGGACGTCTCATTCGATACGTTACTCTGAGGCGTCCAGTAGTGCTCAGACATCTGAAAGAGGAGAGAAGGGGAATTCAATAATGGATGCTATTTCACAACAAAGTAGTGGAGTGTGTGTATGCGTGTATCTGTGGTCTCTTGCCTTCTTCTGAAGCCACTGCACTGCCCAACTCCAATGTCCTGAGAGCTCTTTAAAATAGTCCTTAGCTGGAGAACATCTAACAGAAACACAAAGACATTTAACAATGCTGCCAGAAACACTTGACAGTTCATTAATCACATTAGATCTAAGAATGCATAATTTATCGCTGACCATAATAGTATCAGCCATAATTATTAGGCAAATAATGGAAGCAGACAATATTAGACGTTATTTATTCAGATTCAAATAGTCATTTACTAAATAGTTATCTTTTCTACTGTACATTAATTCATTTTGTTTTTCGTGATTTCACATCATATGGAATTATTGTTTAAAAAAAAAAGAAAAGAAAAACTGTAGACATTTTTCTATCTATCTATAATAATAATTTATGCATTTAGCAGACGCTTTTATCCAAAGCGACTTACAGTGCATTCAGGCTATACATTTTTTACCAGTATGTGTCTGTCTCTGTCTGTCTGTCTGTCTATCTATCTATCTATCTATCTATCTATCTATCAAATATTGGCCAATAACCAAAATGGCACCTTTATATCATCTATACCTAACACACAACTGTATTATATACAATTACATTCAATTATGTCAATATCCATATTGTGTATCCCTAATTTGATCCCCGTGTTCTACACTCACTTCTGTGCCAGTGTGACCAGGAACTTCACACACTGATAGCAGCGACTGCTGTCCACATTGTTGCTCTGATGCATCAAAGCTGTGAAAGAACGAGAATCACATATTAGTACACATTAATTGAATCTTACAACTACTCACACTGATAGAGCCAAATCATACGGTTCTTACCCAGAAGGCCCTTTTCAGATTCAAATGCATATTTGAGCCTCTGAGACTGCAGAGGGTCCTCTACCATCTGAGAGGAGAAAATAAGAAAAAAAGGGTGTTACATCATTATATCCTACACAAAAACTGTTTTTAAGACAGCACACGGTCATCACTCACCAGAATCTCTAGGAGCATCTGAAAGACGTTCTTCAGTTCGTGAGGAGGAGCCGTTTCCAGATGGTTCTACAAGTCACATGAACATGTCATAAGGAAGATTGTAGTAGGTTTGCTTATTTTGTAAAAACAGGCAGGGATTAGCTCAACAACTATTTTCCTGCAGAGATTACTTCAGGTTTGTATATGTATATATGGTATTACTTTCACATTACACAACATACATACAACAATATATTTTTCTATAAATAATATGTACAATAAAAAGAATAAATTATAAATATGAATAAATTACATATATCAATTAAAAGGTTTAAACTAGTCAGAGTACCGACCTTGAGTAAGTGTAGGACTCCCAGTGAGAAAGGTTCGTTACAGAACGAGCAATATGTGATCATCTCTATGAGAAACGACAATGGGCCGGACAACTCACGCATGGCAAACATCACCTGAAAGACATGTCTCAGTCAGTAGTGTGCAGTACAGACAAACAGAGACAGGAGATAGAGAATAAGAGACATTATTACCTCCATGAGATACACCTGCACTTCTGCTTTGAAGAGCAACGTGTTGATGTCTGGATGTAGAGGCAGGAGGGGTGAAGATGGAGCCACCAGTCCTGATGAAGCGTGCTTGAACACTCCTTGAGCTGAACACACATGAGAAGTGCATTAACACACCAGCGTTACCTCATCACTCACACAGAGAACCATTAACATCTAAACCAGGGGTCGGCGACCTATTTTAACCAACATAATAATCACTGGCATGTGAGCAAGAGGGATATTAGGATGACAAAAAGCTTTAAAAGTTACATTTTCAGCCTGGTCTGCCTCAGCAGTCTAAGCGCTCGCCAATGTCAAAATAATTCAGATGGCCAACCAAATCAAAGTAGGCGGAGTTTACTGTTCACAGAAGCAGAGCGCGAATTCCAGCGGGAAGCGTCAGTTTAATGTTGAAAGAGAGCCAGGTAAGATAGAAATTTTATATTAGTCAACTGTTTTATGATAGAAATGTTAAATGACCGACAGCTATTTCCAGTGATGCAAACCACTTTTTTTTCTCAAATATGGCCATTCTGAGAGAGAGTGAGAGAGAGAGAGATAGAGAGAGAGAGAGATGAAAGTTTTTTGAAAAAAAAAACAACAAAAAAAAACTGAAAAAAAAAACATCTACATTTTAAAATGTATTAAAAAGTATTTTCTTTTTAGTGCACATTAGTATTTTATTTCCATTTTTTGTTTACATTTTTTTTTTAGTCATTACGTTTTTACGCCCTCGTAATAGTTTTCGTTAATGATGATATCTTTGGTGTGTGTCCAGAAATCGTGTGTTCTTACACTCTGTCCTCTGAGACGTGAGGTCTGTGTGCAGCATGATCAGGGCCAGAGTGTTGTGAAGATGCAGGAACTCACGAGCCTGTGCTGAACTCCAGCGCCGGTGCTGAAACACAGAACCAGCAGAACGTCATTAACACAGAGATGAACACCTAAAGGGACAGTTCACCCAAATATGAAAGCTCTGTTATCATTTACGCACCCTCATGTCATTCCAAACCTGTTTGACTTAGTTTTGTTCTGTGGAACAAAAAAAGAAGTATTTTGAAGAATGTTGGTAACAGTCTCGGTTTGGTTACCAACATTCTTCAAACTATCTTCTTTTGTGTTCCGCAGAAAAAAAGAAACTCATACAGGTTTGGAATGACATGAGGGTGAGCAAATAATCACAAAATGTTCATTTTTGGGAGGACTATCTCTTTAAGCAAGCAGTAAACCCCAATATTCTCAAGCCAAATAACACTTTGTCAGGTGTTAACAAAGTGTCTGCAATACCTGGTTGTTTTGCCGGTTGGGTCCCAGGAGGAAGACAAGCATCCGACGATAAGCAGAATGTTTCAGCAGCAGCTGACATGGCCCACAGCCCTAAAACACATCATCAGTGAATAACTCACATTTGTTCCTTCAGCTCCTAAGAGTGGCTTTAGAAGACAGAATATCAGTTGTCACTGTGGGCCCCTTTTATGGTGCTTTTTTGGAGCTTTCTATTTGTTTTCTTTATGGAAAAGAACAGCATGAGCTTTCTTCACAAATACAGTCTGATGCCCATAAGAGTGACATCATCGTTCTCACCCTCTGAGCAAAGTTACTGAAGAGGCTGAAGTACTGAGAGCAGTTCTTGCAGTTATCCGGGACATCCTTATCCAATAGAGACAGCAGCATGTCCAAAAGACAGTCTAACCCAGCGTCCTGGAAGTACAAAGCACTCTCCAGGGTCTTCTCCAGGATGGTGGCCACCACGACACGGACCTCCCGCACACTGCATTCCAACAGACAGATCCTACAGAGAACGAGATTCACCCATTAACAATGTTAATTCAGTTGATTTTGAACCAGTTTTCCACTTTTTGCATGAACATGTGGTAAGAGACGATGGATGCTGGCATATCTGAGCTGGTTGGGAGGTCTATGGAAACTTTCCCTGCAGAGCCAGATCTATTGTTCCCTCCAGGGCGAAAATTTTTGTGAAATTTCAGTTCCAGGTCTCCATTGATAAGGGAAACGGTTGCTTTTTTTGTTGGAAGTGTGTCAGAGCTCAATCAGAAAACATTCGGGAACATTCCCTGGCTTCTGCTGGGGCAGCCCTAACATCCGATACGAAGCAGCCAATCGTGTAGCAGGGCACTACGCCCACCCTCACTCCCAATCTGGAGCACCTTTTGACGTGGCAGGCATCTCCAGATCACGCTTAAATGCTTTAAACATTAACATCCCCTGACTGGCAACATTTTTGGTTGACAGAAAGCAGCTGTGGCCGTACCCCACACATATGCTATTGATTTTCAGTTATATGATTATGACCACACATTTACACTTCACACAATCACAGGTGTTAATGATAGGTGGGGCTTTGGGGAAACTGGGCACTAGCTAAAAAGTTCATGGTCTCCTGGGACAGTTTATGGCTTTTCATTTCTTTTTTACTTCTTAAGGTAGAAACTAGTACAACAGAACATTTAACATAAGTCAAATGTAAAGTGGCTTCAAAACATATTTGGACACTTAAATACCACTTGGTTTGTTATATTGTGTCAGATCATTTTTGGTGTGTTTAACAGAGGCATGGAAAGAGCCGTTCTAAATTTAAAGAAGGTGAGAATGCAGCAAATTGGACTTCAGATTGTTGCATTTTCCCTCTCTGTCTTTACAACACACTATTCCCAATGATATCAATTGATTTGCAGTGTTCTCTGACTTTGTGAGTGCAAATGGACTGATATTAGCAAGAGAGAGAGATACAATAGCAAGAGAGTCTTCCTTTGTTTTTTCTTGTCAAAATGAAGGAATGTCTTTGGAATTATTAATTATTTTAGCCTATCATGTAAAATGAAGCCTTTAAGAGCTGCTGGTGGAAATATCAAGTGGAAATCCCATTCACTAGCACTCACCTATCACATCCACCTGATTTCAGCAAATCAAATCAAGTGAACACAGACAGTGTGATTAATATTCATGAGCACAGCTTTCTGTCAGAATTCAGTGCACTTTATATTATTAGTAATATTAGTTATTGTTATTATTAATATTATTTTTCATTATCTATATTATTGTATTTGTATTTTTTATTATCTATATGTATATATAGATATACAGATGTATAAAGATATTTTTATATTTTGTGTCTGTGTGTCAACAGTCTGGTTAGTGTTACTTTTTGCTAGCCAGTGGGGATTTGCCAATGTGTGCGTAGAGGGATAGAGATAATGTTGCTCACTTGATGATCTCCCGTCCTTCAGGTGCCACCAGGTACTGCACCATCCACTGACACGCCTCACTACTCTTGGACAACAAACCCTCCATGGTAGCGATCCACTCCTCTGTGTCCACCCTGAGAGAGAAGACGTCAGAGTTCCCACATTGAAAAAATACACTGATAAGTCTAAAGTCATTTTTGTTGTTTTAATTTTACGTTATTGCTCATATTTTATGCGCATTTACAGTGCATTACAAATGCAATTAATTTTAAATGATCAATTATAACTAATAAATAAAAAAAAACATTTATAATAATAATATATTTTGTCACTATTAAAAAAAAAAAAAAAAATGTAACCACTAGTTCTTGTCTTTGTAATAGTTTACCAATAATAACCCTGTGTTAACAGGCCTTGATTTTAAAGTACTATAAACTAAAGCATCATCCCAACCTGAGTTTCTTTTTAGTGCGCAGATAAGTGTGGAAGAGGAACTGGACAGCCAGCTGCAGGCTGGTTTTGGCCATGGCCTGATACGATGGATGCTTTAACTTCGTCTGAAAAACAGTATAAAGCTCAAATTTGTGTGCAGGAAATATAAAGTGCTTATAAAAGAGGCTGAATGCTCAGAGCTTACTGCGTTGACAGAGGCCAGAGACAGTGTGAAGTTGAAGTAATCACTATTGTAAACGTCTCTGTTCTTCATGAACTTCAGATTTTCATCTCTCACCATCTATACAGATCCAAAAGTCAATTTTTGTGAACTTTTTGAGAAAACAACAAAAATGTCTGAAACACTGTATGAATAATATAATTATAGTTATAGTATAGCATGATGTTGTCAGACCTTAACATCCACTCAACCTGGAACATTTATTTTAGTCACATTGGAATTGCAATGCATGAAAAGGCCTTAAAATCTCTACCTGATAGATCCTAGCAGGCATCTTTTCCACAAACAGACCCTTCTTCTCTCCTTTCTTGACCAAGCGTGTGAGCAGGGTGAGGCGGTCATTGTTGGCTCGGGGTGGCCGTGGGGAGGATTGGGGTGAGATCTCTGGAGAGGATGGGGCTGACCTGAGGTGAAGGATTATGAACATTAATGAGAGAGTCCATATTCCAATGCTCATGGAGGAAGTAAAACGCTAACTCACAGTGAGAGATCCTCTGCCTCCTGCCTCACGATGCTGACTCGACTCTTTTTGGGCAGGACGGGGGAGTTCTGGTCACTGATGCGCTGGTAGAACAGCATGTAGGCGTTCCAGTAGCGCCGCCGCACATCCGGGTAGGGGTTAGCTATAGCATGTGAACACAGTGGCAAAATATTAATATAATAATATGAACACCATGAGTGATATTAATGACGATGACAATGTGACATTTAATCCATCTAAGATGTACTGTGTCAATGTTTTTTATATATTAAGTCAAACAAAATAAATTTAAAAAAGTCACCAGTCAATAACATGAATAATGGTTCGTGGCTACCACAGTAAAAATAAACAGATTTTTAGGCCTAATTTTGTGTTCATGTTGAAAGATTTTACAGTCAAAGTTGATTTTATCGACTTGGTGCTGAAGTTTCAGTATTTTTGACATCATTCATTTACATTGACTTGAGGAAATATGAATAACTTACACTGGTCATAAACTCTGGGTCTGTACTCTCCTCCAAAACACTCGTACTCCAGAGTCTCATCGTTCATGTCAAACTCTTCAACAACATTGTCGTTAAACTTATACCAGCGTCCTCGTGAACTACCCCTAAAAGAGAATAAAGCGTTGAAAAACACACATTACAAACATTGCTCAGTTCTCCTTGGTCACCCAAACATTCCTTCATTCCCTCAAAAAATTTGCCATTTTAAAGCGCCATCACACTGCCAAGCATCTGGGACAGTTTAAGGCTCTCATAAAAACACTCTTGCCAAAAACAGAAGCATGGCCCCCCAGAGACCCATAAATACACATACATACACACAGAGGGGCAAAAAGACCTCCCAGAAACATGTTTCAGATATTACAGTTGCAGAAATATGCCCTATATATAGACTGTATTTTATGGAAATAGATACTGCAGAACTTCATTTATGTATTGTTCAAACACAAGACCTCTGGGATTTTTTAACACAAGCTTTATGCAACAATACGATGCATGCTGTAATATCTTACTACTTTTCATATTTTGGGGATTTGTTCCCTAGAAATAAACTCAAGCATTAAACTCAGAATCCAATTCTTCCCTTATCGTTTGTGTAGATCAGTGATTCCCAAACTGAAGCCAAAGCCCTTAAATAAAGCCTAAAATATTTGCTTGAAGTACCCCCAAAGAAGTTAGCATGTCAATAATTGAACAACATGTTAACATGTTCACAGTCCTCTGATGTAGGTTAACAGTCACGTGACATGGAGGAAAACAAATAAAATGTTTAAAGGGGTCATATGATGCTGCGTGTACATTTGGGCAGCATTATGCAATTATTTCCACATAGTGAGGTAGATATGTGGGGGCGTGTTAGAACAAGCCGTTTTAGGGGGGCGTGGCAGAGTCTTAACTTTGATAAAGAATATCTCTTTGGTTTTGAGACTTTAGTCTTTGCAACTTCAGGGATCTTATCTATGCACAATCAGCTTGTAACACTCCAAAGAGAAAGGAAAACTTGAAATCGCATCATGACCCCTTTCATCTTTTTTAAAAGTGTTTTATTTTAAATTGTTTTTATTTTAAAATTATTTTAATCTGAATAGTATTAGCATGTTAATGGATATGAAAATGTTAAGTGTTTGGTCTTGGTGGATTAGATCTGCTACACACGCTACTGCTGCTATAGAGCAAATATGGGCTTGCTACTGTCAGCAGATACACAGACATGCTGCTTTGAGCATGTAAGATATGCTGCTGCTGCAAGAATAAGCACATATAAATCCTGTAGCAGATCTTGACAGGTGGAGCTGGGGAGGTGGAGGGTTTCAGAAGAACTGCAAGGCAAGCTTGCTGTGAAGCAGCAGAGGCCAATCAACTTGTGCCATGCAGTAAATTATGTTATTGCTAGCAGACTGCATGTATAGGATCTATCAGCCTACAGTTTCATAACTAAACTAGATATTAATCAACTCACACATCCCAGTTTGGAAAATCCTGGTGTAAATGGTAAGGCCTGATAAGAAGAGGTGTACTACCATCTTCATCAAACTCTCAAACCAAGTCATCAAACTCTCTCCTTTAACTTGGGCCAGCAAGTAAACACCGAGCATCCACCCAGAAAACCCCAAAAACACGTTAATAGACACTCTCTCTTGCAATCTCACCGGCGGTCTTTGATGAATGAGTAATAATGTCCTGCATGGGCCTGTCCGCTGTGGACCACCACTCCCACCAGTTCGTAGTTCTCAGAGATGGTGACCTTCTTCCGAGGCGATCCCCCGGATCCGGCCTCGCCCCCTCTCCCGTTCTCTCCATGATCTGCACTTGAATCTTGACGGGCCATTCCTGACACTGTGTACGGCTCCATGTTCAGCACCCAGGGGAACTATAAATGAAGACAAATTATTGAAATAGATGCAAATCCTTTATATATTAACATTCAAAAATCTGGGGTCAGTAAGATTTTTTTTTTATGTATACTTTTTTTCAGCAAGGATGCATTAAATTGATTTAATATTTAATATTTTTACATTGTTGCGAAAGTAAATTCTCTATCAAGAAAATGCTTCTGAACTTTCA